AAAATCCCGATGTTGATACCACAAAACACCAACCTGTCCAACGTATAAATCCAGTGCACAAATTTTATAACAGACCGGCAGGTAACTACAATATTCGTTCCCACCTCACCAAATGTATCCGTTGATGCCTTTGAAGCCATACTATATATGCGTGTTAGCCATAACGAGACATTTTTTTAATAATTCTGAGTCAAAACAGCATGGCGATATAAATTTTTTATACGTATTCAATGATTTTCTCTTATACGAGAATTCCCCGATACCATACAACATGCACCAACCAAATCACACTTGATGGATAAGCTTTGGAGGAGGCCGAAACCATAACATATCTTGGAAACGTTACTGATGAGCAAAGCGGATCTGATGCATACGTGAAGGTCTAGATTATCGAAGCAAGAGTACTATTCGTACAAATGATCATCTGGAACTCAAAACAGCTGTCAGTTAACACTAAAAATGTATGGAGCGGAAACTTGGAGAACCACGAAAGCTATCATCCACAAGATACAATTGTTCATTGACAATTGTTCAATCACGGTACTTTCATCCATTGGTCAGAAATATTCAGTATATACCAACTGTGGGAGAGAACAAACGAAGTTCTAACTGAGGAAGAAATCAGGAAGAAGCGCTAGACGTGGATAGGACACACACTGAGGAATGCACCCAACTGAGTTACAGGACAAGCCCTCAAAAATTCTACAGAAATGGGAAGCCAAGGAAAGGGTTGATCAGGGAATGTTAGTCAGCTCCATTAGAGGTCGCAGGAGTAGGAAAGTAAGTACATATGCCGTGTGTTTTATCTGAGTCACTCATCAATGAGCCGAAGTGATAGAACATAATTCCAAGGTACACTTCAGAAACTGTTTGTCTGCTTGCATAAGAATACCTGAAATATATTCTTACAGGATATTTTGTACTTGGCTTTCTACATCACAATTGCACAATGTTCTTGACTGAGATAATATGCATGAAATTAGATGGCGAATTTTATGAAAACAGATTCAACAAATAAGTTTAAGGTCATGAAATGCGTCCGTTTTGATCAGCTATTCACTCGTTAAAGATAACTTTCAATTACCGAAATAAACATTTTTCTAATGATAGTGTCTTAGTTGATACAGATTTCATTTCAGTTTTACTGAACACGTACACAAACATGTGTACAGTTTTAAAATGAAATCATACCATTTAACCAGAATTTTTATGGTACTTCTCTTTTTTGGAAACCCAACAGTAGCACTTGAATAGAAATATTATAGCTTGTTTTTCTTGTTGACGTATTTCGTGATACAATCCTTGCAACAAATCCTTCTTAACTCCAATAATGTCTGCCTTGGGACAGAGTAGATTAAAGTAAACTGGTAGGTGGCCTATGCTCCATTGAGGGTAACAGACATAAATAAGTAAGTATGCAATCTTTTCAAGTGAACAATTCATTAGAAAATTGACTTGATAAATAAATTTGAAGCATGACAGATAACACATGAATTATTCTTATCACTACTACTAGCGTAGGAACAAGTCAAGTAAATGTACACTTGCTCGCTAATCATCCATTTGTATCTGTGGCATGTTCTGTAACCCAAGCTTTTTATAATCTTTCTTTAAGCGGCAATCGAGTCGTGGTTGACTATGATCACCCACTAGATATAAATTACAAACCCATCACTGAGTAGAATACTTATTCCATAGTAAAGAATATATTTGCTTGCGATTTCATGGTATCGAAAGAATACGGAAATCGTGCCAGCAAACAGGAGCGAAATTATAGAGACAGTGCAGTTAAAATGGCAGCACACAAACATGACGTTTGCACGTACAGAGTGTACTAATCGCATTCTCTTCATAAAAGTAGATTAACTACAGATTCTTCCATTTTGTATGAAGCAGTACAACTATTCATTGGTTATATAAGTACTGATTGACAAATTTACCTACTGAACCTGACAGAGAGATGTAAAATAATAGGAGTAAATAAACCTTGTGGTCACAACATCAATGCTAAAATGGTTGTATATACACAATATTAAATTTCTGTTACATACTGATGGAAACGTTAGATCCCCAGAACTCACTTGATAAAAGCCTTAATTTTGGATTTTATTCAGTTGACCTTGAGATCACATTACCCACCAATAAAATCATTGACTGTGATTGGTTGATGTGTTATTGTAGAATGCTATTTTTGTGATTCTCCCAAGGACGTTTCTATGATGCAAAAATAAACGTGGTTTGTAAGCTTGATTCATTGTATTGGCTCGGTGTTTGTAGAATACACTAACGTTTTACGATGTAAAGAAAACAATGTTTTTCTTAGAGCTAATCATAATACTTAGGATTGTCAACATTTTTGTGAAATCCGTTGACTATAGCATTCAATAATTGTGTATCTCCCACAACTAATTACTTCGGTTACGAAAGTTACACAAACAATTGTGGTCTTACTGACTCCTTGATGCAAAACACCGAAAACTGGGAGAACACGGGAAGGTAGAAAGTTTATTGTGACTACAATTGAAAATAAAAACTGAAAAACACATATGTATTTACGGAAAATTCAAGAATTTCCTTGAGAATCAATCACTGAGAGTTTGAAATCAGAATTAACAAGACCAGTCTAAATTTATGATTTTAAAGGATACTTTTTCTCTCTTCCGATTGGTTTTTTTAGAAAATAATACATTTCCCTAAATCTCTGTCGAATCATATCTTTACATATTATAGCTCTTCATGAAAAGTTACTATAAGTGTATTGATTGCACGAAGCGCATATACGTTTATTTACGAACACATTGGTGGTAGTCTGTTTCGGTCAAACTATCATGGATCAACTCCGATTTCTTATGTAAGTTAGCTTAGACTACCTGATTAGGGTCCGCAGATTATGGTCACCGATGGTTAGGGAACTAGAATGAAATGGCTCAGAATTGTTTGCAAGGGCGTAGGTGCGCAGGTCTTCTCTCAAATTATGATCCGAATTCCTTATCACTTTTATCTGTTTTTAAATTTATTTCACTTGATTATACTTCTTCGTGACATAATCTTTTCCATTACTGTTAATATTTCCATTAGATCTACTACTGTGGGATTACCCTTCCAGTGTGGGCAGCCGGGAAGTGACATCCTCCCTGATACCCGTAACAGCACACGTGAACAAATTGGTCACAATCAAATCCTTCCTACGCACACTAACAACTCTCTACGGCTAAAACTCCTCAAGTTACTTTATCATCCCGCATCGCTAATGAAAACGGTCCGAGTTCACAAAACATTATTCTTGGTCTCTCGAAACCCCGCTCTAAACTACATTTTCGAGCTTCTAATTTCCGAACCCTGTGTCAAATAATATAAAAGGCTTCCTTAGCTAGAACCCTGGAATCTCGTGCCATCGATGTAGGCTAGATCTCGGAAACACGCATACAGTATCCAAGTACAGCAATTAATTTGATTCCAACTTGTGAAGATAGAGAAACAAAACGGTGTATGCTTCCTGTTTCTGGAAGCGCTGATGCTGCTCTTAGGATATTCACCAAATATCCTAAGAGTACTATTTTTGGAAGTATAATCCTACTGGTCGATTTCTATTTGTCAAAATTATGGTCGTTTTAACTGTCAAAGGCAAATACTTCAGTGTTGTCTCTCATTGGCCATCCGGACTGCCAATGTCACTTCAAATGTTCTTTCCAAATTGGTCGTCCTAAACTGTCAATGTCACAGACTTTGATGCTCTTTCCTATTCGACCTAAATGTATAAATACGCACTATCTGTAAGACTTCATGATTCCGTTTCTTCCTGCCTACCTCTCTTCTGTACTCGACCCAATAAACAACTCCACCCAACGGTGTTGCGTTCTGATATACAGGAGATTTGAAATAGTATTTGGATCGTACTGGGATATTGGAATTTGGACGCCACTAGGACTGAATAGCTATACGTAGCAGCATTTATAACAGCTGCTTCCCGGTATTTCGCTGGCGTAGGTATAGCACTGAGTCCTAGGGCAGAACTAGTTCTCCTAGATTAGATCCCAGCAAATAGTCGCTTGTGCGCTGTCCCACTGAACGCGGCAATAAGGATTCGGAAAGATAGGGACACTCACCGTTGCCTCTTCATCGTATCTGTCTAAGCTCTCTCATCATCCTTCTCTTTCTAAAGTTATCTCATTGAACTATAATTCTTAAATAATATCTACAAACTTTAATATTCTATATTATCGCTTGTACTTCTACTCTCTCTACTACTATAGAATTCAAACTGACAATTGCGTCTCTGTGCTAATGTGGTATGGCAACCTGAACTGATGTACGTACGTACGTACATACATACGAAGTTCTACACTGTAACGGACTGAAATTCACACAATACAGTAAATAAACGTTGTTGGTTAATTCATTTTTGCATTACGGGGTTGTGAAGATTGTTAGGTTACACATTTTTGAAACCATGAATAGATCAATGTTAAACCACCATTAGAAACCTGGAAACACTGACAGACGGCCGTTTCGTCCTGGTATGGGACTCCTCAGCAGGCGTTCGCGCACAATACCGAAGGTCCTGCGTTCGAATCCTGCCAGTTTCAGGAGTCGTGGATGCGCACTGCTGCGGAGTCCCATACCAGGACGAAACGGTCGTCTGTCAGTGTTGCCACGTTTCTAATGGTGGTCTAACATTGATCGATTCATGGTTTCAAAAATGTGTAATTCATTTATTTCAATAATCACAATCCAATGGGATACACATACACACACATACACAGTTGAAAGACAATTCTATACATCTCTCAATGAATAGATAAAGTACTTATTTTTTTAATTGGCTTTCACATTTCAATATTTTCATCAGTGTACTCTTGCTAAATTGGTGTGTTTTGCCAATTGAAAGCAATACAAGCAACGACTTAACTAATAATCTTTCTCTTCTTGAAATGCATTTTTTTTGAAGATTTATGAGAAAAGAAAGAGTTATTACTTTAGACTAAAGAATTTCACATAATGTCAATATTATTATTATTATTATGCTCATACATACACATATGTGTTTTATACTGTTTCAATAGAATGAAAAAGTGTTTTGTGATCGACAACAGACGAAATATGTATATATATTTATATATCATATTTAAAATGAGAAAAATGCCAACAAATGAAAAGCATTTTAATGATTGATAAAAAAATGAAATCTATGCATATTAATGAACACATACTACACAGAGAGAGAGAGAGAACTGACTAGAAATATATATATATAGAGAAATAGAGATTACATAATCAGTTATGACATAATGTTACCAGTTATATAAATCCAATCAAAATCATAATTATTGTCCAATGAAATGTTCATATGATGATTCTTCAATTTTCAGGCATAAAATTTATAAAAGTCACATGAATCACAATAATTAAAACAAAATTTGAAAGAATTGATTTGTGTTCCAATGAAAATGATCAATCATCCAATGAGTGTTTGTTTGTGTTTAAAAGGGAAGTTTTGGTTAAAATATACGATCAGGAAATAATGCCGGTGCAATTAATGTCCAAACATAGAGACCTAAACATACCCAACTGCTTATAATACGTACCCAAAAACTAGCTGAATTACTAGTTAGTGTTTTTAAATCACTTTGTGGTTTTAACCAATTAGTAAGCATTACCATAACATAAAGTGAAGCTAAGAACATCATAAAATGATACATGGAATAATCGTAAGCTACACCATGCTCTTCGTTATCCCATACTTTTTGACCATGTCTATTGCCATCATCGTTATCATCATCAGCATTGGAGAATTGTTCAGCTAGAGTTGTATCTTCTGTACCCTAGAAACGGAGGGAAAGAGAGAGAGAGGCAATAAGTAATATATAGATATAAGAATAAATTTTACTATTTGAATCAATGTGAAAGAAACTTGTTTAGCATTGCAATGGCACAGGTGCATCCGTTCTTTGTCTTCTTTCAACTTCTAATCTTCCGAATTCCTCGTCACCTTTATCTTTCGCTTCCGAAAATTACTTCACTGAGCTATACCTCTTGAATAATATATCTTGGAACCCTAATCTTCTACATTATCGATAATACTTCTACTATCTCTAGCACTATGGGATTTGAATTCACAATTCCATATTTCCATGCTAATGTAGTATTGCGACCTCAATTGGTGTACGTACACACGAAGTCCTGCGTTTTAGCTGATTGACAAACTGACTGAATTGAACATCATAACTCATTTTCGTCAGAATCAATTTTGATAATAAATATTGGGCTGATACGTGAACTACAATGTTAAAAAAAGAATGTGCGTCATCACGTATAATTAACTGATGATGATGCTGTGTTTCACTAATGAAGCATACGGCTTCAAGTCAATGTTCATGTAATGGTTAGCGAGACTACTTACTAGTGAAGAAAGTTAACTGTACCCAGTATTTTATACAACGATAAGGAATGAGAAATAAATCCTGACCGTAGCTGCTACCTTGTGGTGGTTGGGCTTGCATATCGTGATCAATCAACCTAGCTATATTGGCTGCAACATATGTTTCTGTAGGTTCTTTCATGCAACACAGGTCGATCGGAGAACGATGAGACTAAAAGCAGCTACTCAAGGTCTGAGGGCGAAGTCGTACTGCTGACAGCAGTAAGGTGTTTCCCTCGGACAACCAGCATCTGCAGCGATGCTGCCTTCTCACAAGGAAGGAAGGGTTAGAAAAGGTCGACCCTAAAAATGTCATACCTCACGGATTTCCATCTCCGGCGGTAAGGCGCCTTTAAACAAGAGCGGAGATAATACTCAAAAAACCTTTCATAAAAAGAGTGTGCGTGAACGGACTCATGCAGTTGTTCCTTAGGCTCTGCGGTCACACGCGCAGGTCTCTAAGTTCAATATTAATCTACCTTCCTTTTCACGTTCCTCAAGAAGAGAGGTATTAGGGGGTGTAGGAAGGATTTGATGTTGACCAATTTGGTCTCGTGTGCTGTTACGGGTATGAGGGCGGTTATCACTTCCCGGCTGCCCACACCGTGGAAAGTTGTTTCTTGACGAACCTGAAAAGGAAGATAGATTAGTGTTGGTCTTGGAGACCTGGGAGCGTGACCGCAGAGCCTAGGGGACAACTGCTTCAGGCCGGTCACGCACGGCCTTTTTATGAGTGGTTTTTTGAGTATTAGCTCTGCTCTTAAAAGCCCTTAGTCGGCACGCTTGTGGTAGGGTGAGGTGTGACATTTTAGGGTCGACCTTTTCTAACCCTTCCTTCCTTGTGATGCCGGTTGTCCGAGGGAAACACCTTACTGCTGTTACATCTCTCTTCAGTAGTCAGCAGTACGACTTCACCCTCATATCTTGAGTAGCTGCTTTTAGTCTCATCGTTCTCCGATCGACCTGTGTTGCATGAAAGAACCTACAGAAACATATGTTGCAGCCAATATAGCTCGTTGGGGTCTTCACGGTAGGCAAGCCCGACGACCACGTCAAGGTAGCAGCTTCGTTCGGGTGGTGGTTCGGCCCGGGTACGAACAGGGGACATTCTGCGTAAAATCTGATGCTCTACCGACTGAGCTAACCAATGGTTAGAGACCTTGAACGACGGCTCAAAATCGTTCGCAATGGCGCCGGTGCATCCACTCCTTGAGCTCTCTCAAATCCTAATCTTCTGGATTAGCCAGCACCTGTACCTTTGTCTTTCTAACCTTATCTCACTGAATTATACTTCTTGAATATTATCTTCGAACCCTAGTCTTCATCATTACCATTAATACCTCTACTATCTTTATCACTATGGGATTTGATTTGACATTTGCGTGTCTGTGCTAATTTGGTATGGCAACATGAACTTATGTACGTACATACGTATGAAGTCTTACGTTGCAACTGACTGACTGACTGAGTTTTATCGAGGATTCTTTCTTAGTGATATGATTTTTAATTCTATCGATTCGTTTACATTTTTTATATAGAGCTTCTTTTTCTGTACTCTCCTCTTTTCTCTTCTCCTCTCAATGGATTATTGATCTGCACACTTTTGTATTGTATTGTATTGTGTGCGTGTGTATGTATTTACGCGGTACAATTTGAATCGTACAGTTTGTTTTACTGTTTATATTTGTCGAAATTAGCATCATTAACTAATAGAGTAGACATAATAAAAACGACAAAAAAAAAACAACCTATGATCAATGGAATTTTTCAAAATTATGTGTTGTAATTGTGATTAGATTACCAAAATTGGGATTATGAGATTATCGATTAGATTGAAGCTTAAAATATCTATAGTGGATTAGTAGATACATTTGTTTTTTGCTCAAACAAAATTAAACACACATTCAATCAAAATGTGTATATTGTAGTAAATGTAAATATAAGTATTCATTTTTTCTGTTGTTGTTGGAAGTTGTAATCTGATTATGTATTATTGATGATAAGAATCCTTCTTTTTTTTGTAATTATAACGCAGACATATTGCTTATTATAGTTGTTTATTTTGTTTTCAGTCATTTGTCTACATTTTTTCTGTTTACTATTTATAAACTCATTCAATTATAGTAATAACTGTTCTCTCATGATAATAAATTCAATTACATTTATTTTTGATCTGCGTACTGTTACGGATATGAGGGTGGTTGTTACTTCCCGGCTTCCTACACCATGGAAGGCTGTTTCTTGAGGAACGTCAGTCAGTCAGTTGCAACGTAGAACGTCGTACGTATGTACATAAGTTCATCTTGCCATGCCACATTAGCACAGAGACGAAAATGTCAAATCAAATCCCATAGTGATAAAGATAGTAGAGGTATTAATGGTAATGATGAAGACTAGGGTTCGAAGATAATATTCAAGAAGTATAATTCAGTGAGATAAATTTACAAAGACAATGGTAGAGGTGCTGACGAATCCAGAAGATTAAGATTTGAGAGAGCTCAAAGAATGAATGCACTTTAGCCATTGCAAACGATTTTCAGCCATGTCGTTCAAGGTCTCTAACCATTGGTGACTATCGTCTCGCGGACCCCAACCAGGTAGTCTACATCTACCAACATGACTCAGTCCACCTGTCAGTGACTTCATCCATTTCTGCCATGTTTTGGTCTGGCCGCCCCTAGCTTTCTACCAGTCTACACCTACACCACAAAACATAGCTTGTCGAGGCAGTCGGTGGTTAGGCATACGCAACACATGTCCCAACCACCTCAACTGATGAAGTTTCATTACTTCATCTATTGATCTGCCATCCTTCAGTCAGTCAGTTGCAACGTAGAACTTTGTACGTAAGTACATCAATTCATGTCGCCATACCACATCAGCATAGAGATGTAATTGTCAATTCAAACCCAATAGTAGAAGAGTTAGAAGGGTATTAGAAGTAATCGGACAGGTTAGGATGAGAAGATATTATTCAAGAAGTATGATTAAATGACAAAAGTTCAGAAAGTCAAAACTAGAGGTGTTGAAGAATCCAGAAGATTAAGATTTGAGATCTGTCATCCTTACCTAGTACTCGTTTCCTAACGACAACATTGCTTACTGGGTTGTCCCACAATATACGAGCAATGCTTCTTAAACATCTATGATCCAATACTAGTAACCTACGAACATCTACCCTTAACGGCCATGTTTCACATCCATAAACTAAGACGGAGCGAACTACTGCGCAGTACACCCGTCCTTTGGTTAGCGAACGGATATCACGCCTATGCCATAAGTGACGCAGGTTGGCAAAAGCCAATCGAGCTTTCTGTATCCGCGCTGAGATTTCGTCAGTCAACAGGCTATCAGCACTGATGAGACTCCCAAGTGAAGTGTTTAACACGCTCGACTACTTCACTCCCTATCACTAGTTCAGGTGCCCATGCAACCCAATCTTGAAGCAACATTTTGCATTTCGAGGGTGAGAACCGTATGCCAAACATGCTTGCATTGTTGCTTATGGTAGTCAGAAGACTCTGCATTTTGTCAGCGTCTTCACCTAATAGAACTATGTCATCGACATATCCTCGATAAAACTAATAATAATAACAATAATAATAATAATAATAATAATAATAATAACGAATATTTTCAAAGAACAAACATTTACAAAAAGATGAAACAAGATGCAAACCTACTACTTAATGATCATAATCACATTATGAAGTTATGTTCCTCATCATGTCTATCTATTTAAAGTACTGATACAAATCCATGAAGTCACTGACAAGTAGACTGAGTCATGCCGGTAAGTGTATACTATCTGGTTGGGGTCCGTGAGACGAAAGTCACCGATGGTTAGAGACCTTGAATGACATGGCTCAAAACCGTTTGTAATGATGGCGCAGGTGCATTCACTCTTTGTGTTCTCTCAAGTTCTAAATTTCTGAATTCCTCATTATCTCTGTCTTTTGCTTGCTCAAGTTGTCTCACTGAATTATACTTCTAGAATCATATTTTCGAACCGTAATCTTCTTCATTACTGCTAATTCTTCTACTATTTCTACTACTATGGGATTTGAACCGACAGTTGCGTCTCTGTGCTGATGCGGTATGGCAACCTGAACTGTATTCATGTACGAAGTTCTACGTTGTAACTGACAGTAATAATTCCAAACTCATATCCTAACAGATTTATGCACAACTGATAACGTGACACTCAGTTTGGATAGAAAATTGAGTAGAAATTTTGATATTACGAAATTAGTATTCATATACACTGAGAAAGTAGACTGAAAAAATTAAGAAAATGAAAATCACTAATACGTGATCTGAGTATGCAAAAGTGATTTACGGTTAAAAAGTTTGTGTATCAGATCTTCACTTTAGTGGTACTGTGGTGCGCGCTACTGATAAGTAGTATATGACGCGAGTGAAAACGTAATGTCTGGCAGCAAGAAGATGGGGGAAGATCAAGAAAGGAAGAGTGGGAACACAATGGGATTTGTATGAAACGCATGAATAGTGAAATGTCAGACAATGGATTGAAGATTTGGAAATTAACGGCTACGATATGGTTTTCCTATTTCACTGAGTAACTCTGTAATTTGCGAGAAATACAATTCGGTTGCCCTCACCTGTGTTCTCCTTCACTACATTTGGTGTCGCTGCCTACACAAAGGATGAAGATTCCATGGCCGAAGTAGTTTGAGGACGGAGATGTGCGGAGCTTCCTGAAGGAGTTTGAGGCCGTGGCGGAGCTGGTGGATGTGAAAGAGCCGAAGGCGAAGTTGGTGGTGCTGGGGACGCTGCTGAGAGGTAGGGCAAAAGCCGTATATGACAGCTTGGACGGTGCTGGCGGGGAGACGACGTGGGAGACGGTCACCGGGCGGCTGATGACGGAGTTCGACAGCCCAGTGGACAGGGAGAAGGCGCTGCAGGAGTTCCGGTTGGCGAGGCTGTCGGCTGATGGTGACCCGCTGGTGCCTGCTGTGTAGCTCACCAGATTGTTGCGCCGCGCTCTGCCAAGTATCGATGAGGAGTCGGAGGCACAGTTGTTGACGATGCAGTTTATCGAGAGTGTGCCTGCCGCCTTGTCCCAGTGTAGTGAAAGAGAACACAGGTGGGGCAACCGAATTGTATTTAACGAAAATTACAGAGTGACTCAGTAAAATAGGAAAACCATATCGTAAATTGTTCATTTGCAAAAGATCAGTTCATCCTATCGAACTGGACTGTTCCTGTTGCCAAACATCAATCCATTGTCACTATTCATGCGTTTCATACAAATTCCATTGTTTTCTAACTCTTCCTTTCTTGATCTTCCCCCATCTTCGGCTGCCAGACATTACGTTGACGCTCACGTCATATACTACTTACAAGTAGCTAGCACCACAGCACCACACCAGCAGCTGAGACTAGTAAACGCAGCGCAACTTATGGATATCGGTGAACTGGCGAAGGTGACTCGTCAGCTGATGACACGAACAGTAGCGCGCACCACATTAAATTTACACTTAACTAAAACTACTCTTACTGATCTCCAGTTTGCAGTTTTCCAAAGAAACAATCTGGCAACAAGAAGAATCTTCAAAATATGTATTCATTAAAAGCAACAAACAGTTGGCGTAATTCACGATTATATATATATATATATATATATATATATATATATATATATATATATATATATATATGATAAAAACTAAATATACACTATAAAAACTTACGGAAATAAGAAATTTTACAGCTGATGAATTTGTACTAGATCTAAGAGTGGAGTAGAGGACAGAGCAAATAAGCACCACTATACCAATGGCAATGTGTCGATCGAAATTCAAAACAACTGAACCATCCGGTGTAGTTGTACTGTTTCTAAAAGCTAAAGATGGATTGCATGCTGGATCTTGACCATTTGTTAAACCACACCATGTCAAGAAAGTTACATAGGCGGTGATGATTGAAGACTGGAGAGAGAAAAAATTGTTTTGTTGAGTTAACATCAAAATGAGATATCCCAATAATAGTAGGAATAATCCATATCACATCAGTATATGCGAAATATTAGGTAAAAGAATTGACTATGTATTTAGAAATGTTAAACTGATTACAACAACTTACGAAGAAAACATAGTAGACAAGGGGGGAAGAAAGTGTGTCACAAATATGTATTAAATAAGGGTAAAAAAATGTGCACGAACAGTGAACACTAGTAAGGCTTCTATTGAATAGTCCATCAATTGAGTCATTACATATCACCATGGTTTAAGTTCTCAAGAAATGGTATTTTTACACTGATAAATTCATATTATGTTGCTAGAATCATTAGTTTTACTTTATTCGAAGATATTAATTGGAAAAAACTGTAGAGCTCTTATAATCTTAGTTGTGACTAAACTTAACAAGTGTTTATTCGGTAAACTAAACGAACAATACTCTTCAAGTAGATCTGCAGCTGCTACAATGATGGGATTATCTATCATCATAACTCAAACGAGCTATATTGGCTGGAATAAGTTCGTCAGCCATGACAGGCTGGTATGTGAAGAAATCTTAGAAAGGATACAGAAGGCTAGACTAGCTTTTGCCAACGTACGTATGCTAGGTATCTGTTTGCCAACTAAAGGACGAGTTTACTGTGCAGCAGTTCGCTTGTTCCTATGTTACGGTGTGAAATATGGCCAGAGTAGAGGATATTCGTAGATTACTAGTATTTAATCATAAGCGTCTTAAAAACATTGCTTGTATATCCTGGGACCATTGAGTGAGCATTGCTGTGGTTAGGAAACGCGTACTTGGTAAGGATGGCAGATCAATCGATGGATTAGTACATTTTCATCAGTTGAGATGGTTGGGACATATGTTACGCATGTCCGACCGCAGCTTCCCTTGACGAGATATTGTCTAGTGTCAGTGTAGGAACGGTATTTACAGTTTTTATCACGAACTAATATCAGCTATAAACCCGAAATGCTATTTAACCATAAGAATCACTGTTTTCTAAACTCTACGTTCCATGTTCTTTTGTTCACAATCGCTGGCTTTATTACTGATAATATTTATCTTTACCCTCTTACATTTTATTCGCTTTGCTGATGGAAACTGTGACAATTCAAACTACAGCACGTGTCACATCCAAAGTCATTTATGTACTGTTGTCTACAAAATAATGTCAAGTTAGAGCTTATACTCAAACTCATCAGCTTCGAGTAAGATAATGGATCGTTCTTAACCTGAATATTCACAGTCATAAAACTGTTTAGGCACCTGAACTACTACTATATTGCGAATTACATCATGAGTATAAAGTAAATAATTACTTTCATTATGGTACGATTTACACTGCAGTAATTGTAAACCTGAATCTTCAGCTCACCTGTAGCAAACCAGACTGTGGCATATGTTCTTGCACCTTCGGCATGACCGAAATGACTGATGCACAGAAGCAGAAAATTAGATTTAAACTGATTAAAGCCTGATTTAATCCACATTGTGAAGCACTTGCGTAAAAAACAAACAGGAGTATTGTCCCAGCGATTGAAAGTGCATTAAAGAAAAAAGTGAAGAAGATCAGACCAAGTGCATAACATCTACTCCCGGTTTCTTCATACTGTGTTAGCCAGTTTTCATTCCATGAGTGAGCAAAATCCACAAGAAGAATTAATTGTATTAAAATATACAAACTGCCACCGATCATTCCGATGTACATCCATGTAACTGTAAAACCTTCAACAGGTATGAAGAATGCACTGACCAATAAACCAAGCCAAAAAAGATACTTAAAAAACCAAAACCCGTTTTGTAACTTCGCTCTACAGTCCCTGGATGAGTGAACTCGGATCATAATTAAGCAAAACGCAAGATAAAACATAGCTGACGCAAAACAAACACGGTAAACAGCTCCGAAACCAGTAATAACATCACAATCGAGAACGGCCTTTGTTTCATCCGAAAACGGAGAAAATTTAAAAGGAGTACAAAGAGCAGGAATTTTGGTTAAGCCATCTCTAACGTTAGGAATAAGTGCGATAACTGAAAGCAGGACTGTAAGGATAATGATAACACCAAACATAATACGTGAGGATGTCGAAGACTTGCAACCAGGTAGACAAGAACAGCATAAGCTAGCAGCAGAGCTGCAAAAGCAACAGGCGACAGAGCTTACAATACAGCCCATCACAAGGAATGCAGGGGGAACGAGTTGTTGTAAATCCCCGAAAATATGAAGCAGACGATATTAGGAACAAAATGATATTTTCACAAGAAAATTAAACTAGATGGTCTGTTCTGAACAGTGGTCCAGTCCGATTAGAAGAAGTAACGGCTGAGCCGAAGCCTCCTCTTAAATGGCCTTCAATATTCAATAACTTTCAGGACAAAATAATATCAAAAATATATGGTAAAAATTGTGGCATATTTATAAGCAAAGTTATTATAACACTGAATCTAATTTCAGGACATAAGTGAATAACTGTAGGTAAATTACCGGATAAAGCCACTGATAATTTTAGTGGGTTTTGCAGTTTCGTTGATATACCACTGATAACCTAAAAATTTATTGATTATTTTCTCGTGTCTAGGATGTTTTCTGGATACTAGCCTAAACTCTTCAAGGCCCGTGATTTACGCAAAACGGTCACTTAAGTTTCATGTACTTTTAACTAGGTCTAGATTTTCTACTAGACTTTACCCGAAATCTCTCCAGGTGCCGAAATTTCATGAGTAATTTACTCTGAATTCAGAAAAACGGTTTAATTTTCATGTGAAATCCGAGGATTTGAACTTATGCTAGGTTCTGTCCACACAATATTTATCACTTGTCTCACTGTTCAATACTGAAAACCTGGATGGAGTTTGTGTTTTTTAGTAGACTTCGTCCTCGACACAGTTCTGCAGACTGCTGTTTGCCATAGCGTTAACAAGCTTTTCCTTAAAACGAGCTTATGGCCCGAAATTGCCTTTGAAACCTCACTTTACCAAACAGACATCACCAGGCTAATAAATATAACGAGCGTGTTGACCGCTTCACTTATCTTGGGAGTCTCATCAGCGCTGATGGCCTGATGACTGAAGAAATCTCAGCTCGGATACAGGAGACTCGATTAGCTCTTGCGGACCTGCGTCACTTACGGCGAAGGCGAGATATCCGTTTGATGACTAAAGGACGAGTGTACTGTGTAGTGGTTCGCTCCGTCTTACTTTATGGCTGTGAAACATGGCCAGTGAGAGTAGAAGATATTCGTCGGTTACTGGTTTTCGATCATAGGTGCCTCCAAAGCATTGCTCGTGTATACTGGGACACACGAGTAAGCAACAATGTTATTAAGAAACGGGTGCTAGTTAAGAATGGCAGATCAACAGATGAAGTAATGAAACTTCATCAGTTGAGGTGGTCGGGACACGTGTTGCGTATGCCTAACCACCGACTGCCTCGACGAGCTTGTAGTGCCTCCACATATATTTCACTTCTCTCACATCTAACTTGGTTAAGCCCTTTCGATTAATTTATTTAACCAAGCCATTCGCTTAGCAACAACTTATATGTACCATTGGTATTTTTATTATCTGGTTTGTATGAGCTAGTATGACTGAGCATTGCTTAACGCCTACGCACATATGCATCCTATTCGCTTTAATATTAATCTCTTCAATACCACGATGACTCAGACATTTTCCTTTGTATATATACGAACATTTTAATCTTATTAATTCATTCGCACATTCGCATATTCGCTCGCTAGTCTGTCTGCCCGGTCTGTCTGTGGTCTGCTGTTATTAATTGTGGTGTGCTACAATAAACGTATACGATACTTGGAATTCATCTTCTGATTTATTAACCGTCAGACGTCATTTGGATAAAGTAGTCTGAACGAGCTTATTACGAAACGTAAGAACACGCATTAAGCCGGCACACTACAAACTGGTAATCCCGACGTTCTCAGGATATTTCCGGATACTGACAAAAAAAATCGACGCTTCCAACAAAAATTGGTAACCTCGACGCTCCCAGGAATAATTTGCTGATATCGACGACAGACCAAAAACGACGACCACAAATCGAACGCGTCCGCAATATCACTGACAATCACTATTTCGATACGAATTACTATTGTGGATTAAATTAACATTTTGGATTATTATATT